TATATATATATATAAAATGAAATTTAATAAAAATGTGATAAAGTGTGAAAAAATGCGACAAAATGTGATAAAAATGTGATAAAAATAATAAACGCACTGATATAGTGAATAGCAACTAACGAGCGTATATATGAAATGCATGATAAAAATGTGATAAAAAGCCAAAAATGTGATAAAATGTGAAAAATGTGATAAAATGTGAATAATGTGATAAAATGTGAAAAATGTGATAAAAATAATACAACCGCTGATATAGTAAATAGCAACTAATTAGCGCGTATTTAAAATGCATGGTAAAAAATAAGATAAAAATAAAATTTGATAAAAATATGATAAAGTGTGACTGGTTGCCACCCAAGGTTATAGAATTTTACCGCTACTTGGGGCTTTTGAATTCAGACTTGTCATTCTAATAGACTGGTTGCCACCCAAGGCTATAGAATTTAACCCATATTTGGAACTTTCGAATTCAGAGTTGTCATTCTAATAGACCGTTTGTCACCCAATGCTGTAGAACTTAACCCATTTCGGGGGCTTTTGAATTCAGAGTTTTTATTCAGATAGACCGGTTGCCACACAAGGCTGTAGAATTTTACCCATAGTTGGGGATTTTGAATTCAGAATTTTAATTCTCATAGACCGGTTGTCAACCACGGCTATAGGATTTAATACATTGCTGGGGTTTTTCAATTCACAGCTGTAATTTATAATAGACAGGTTTCCACCCAGGGCTATAGAATTTAACCCATAGTTGGAGGCTTTTCAATTTAGAGTTGTCATTCTCATTGATCGGTCTAGGCTGTAGTATTTAAGCCATAGTTGGGGCATTCGAATTCAAAGTTGTCATTCCAATAAACTGGTTGGCACACAAGGCTATAGAATATAACCCATAACTTTGGCTTTTGAATTCAGAGATGCCATTCTCATAGACTGATTGGCACACAGGTTGTAGAATTTAACCCATGGTTGGGGCTTTTGCATTCAGAGTTTTCATTCTAGTAGACTGGTTGCCACACAAGGCTGTAGAATTTAACCCATTTCGGGGGCTTTTGAATTCAGACTTGTTATTCCGATAGACTGGTTGCCACGCAAGTCGCTAGAATTTAACCCATATTTGGGGTTTTGAATTCAGAGTTTTCTTTCTCGTAGATCGACCTCTAGCCAAGGCTGTAGTATTTAACCCATAGTTGGGGCATTTGATTTCAAAGTTGTCATTCCAATAAACTGGTTGGCACAGAAGGCTATAGAATTTACCCTATAGTTTTGGTTTTTGTATTCAGATTTGCGTGAAAATAGACCAGACCAGTTGCCAACCAAAGCTATAGAATTTAACCCCCAGTTGGTGTTTCTGTATTCAGAGTTGTCATTCCCATAGACCGTTTGTCTCCCAAGACTATAGAATTTAATTCATGGTTGCTTTTTTTTTCTGATCAGTGTGGTCATTCTCATAGTTGGGATTTTGTAGAGTTAACATTCCCACAGACCGGTTACACAGAAGGCTACAGAATTCAAACCACAGTTGAGGTTTTTGAAATTAGAATTTTCATTCTCATAGTGTGGTTGCCTACCATGGCTATAGAACTTAAGCCATAGTTGCGTTTTTTATTCAGAGTTTTTATTCTCATAGGCCGGTTTTCACAAAAGGATATATAATTTAACCCATAGTTGGGGGGTTTGTATTCAGAGTTGTCATTCTCAATGACCGGTTTTCATCGAAGTCTAAAGAAATCTAGTCTGTTCGGTTATTTACCCACAGGTTCGGTGGAGAAGGGATGGATTTATACCTTTCCCAAATATGTCTGCACATAAGTAAATGTAAGAAATCGATTGGAATTCGAAATCGGCTCTCCGATTCCTCAAACCGAGCCGCTGTCCATTATTCCAGCGAATAAATAGGTGAGTAATTATTTTACCTATAGAAAATCGACGTATACACGGGTATGTGAGTGGGATATCGGCATTTGATGAAGGGAAGAGTGAATGAAAAGATTTGAAAGTTGATTAAAGCAGCTAATGAACGCGTGTAAGGCGATGTGGCGTTTGTAGTATAGTGGAGAAATGCAAGCGGACTAAGAAACGATGGCGTGAGATGGGAATCGATTAATAAGTAGGCGATAGAAAAAGAGAGAGAGAGCCGTGCCGTCAAATGGAAGGAAACGTGAAAGAAAAGAAAGAGATAGAGAGAAAGTAAGAAGAATCGAAGTATATGTTGATTAATGGCACAGCAAGGTCGATAACTCACTGCGATTGATTGTCGTTGTTAGCGATCCTAAGTGTTGTGGGTTGCGATGCTAATAACACAGTCGGTGATAAATGATCTTGCCCCAACCGTTGGAAGGTAAGGGACAAAATGGAGGGTTATTTCCAACCATACACCGTCGTCTGCGCTTCCCCTGCTATACAGGCGCGTGCGTATACATATGCCCATATACACACACACACATGCAAACATATACGCACAATAACACACACATAAGCACACATGCATAGAAACACACAG